GGCAGGTGCAACAGCCAGCAATCTCTGCAAGACTTGAGCCAGCATGCCTAACACAGCCTCCAATCCAACCGGAGCCGCAGCAGCAGCTGCCGCAGCATTAGCTGCCATGTTCCCAATTCCAGCATTTACCCCGGCTATCCCAGCAATAGCCGCGGTAACATTGTTTCCAGCCGTGTTCACTTCAGCGTTCTCACGGTTGTTCTCATCACCCTGACCATCAGTCCTGTTAACCGAGCTTTCCTCAGTCTCTCTCGCAGATCTCCTTCCAACATGGTTACTCTTAGCCATCTGCAAGGTAAAATCCCATAACTAAGCTTGCCACAATCAACTTAGTTTTTCACAGAAAACAACTTACCGCGAGACATCAGGCTGGAAATATGTTATGCAAAAATACTTGTCCTAGAACCGAACACGCTCTGATACCAAATTAAAACGCCCTAACCCGGATATCCGAACCGCAGTAAGGATTTAACTCGGTCACTTCCTGACTAGTCTTGGGTATTTTTAAACTTTTTCTGTACTTAGTCATTTTTCAGCGTTTGTACTCGGATTTAGTCAAGTCATTTTAAACATAAATCATTACTTAGATAAAATGAGGCTCAAGCATACAATGAAGGTTCGCTATAAGCTAATAAAATCTGCTATAAGCTATTACATTGTTCTACTTGACCATAGTCTACCCAAGCCTAACATCCTTCCTTTCCTGCCTTAGTCCCGCGGTCCAGATCAGTTCCCTTCAAGATCAAACTCAATGTCTGCATCCACAAATGAGGCATAAGCAAACGAATTGCTTAGTGAGAGCGGTCATCCCGTCCCACTTAGCCAAAAACAGAAACACACTCACATAGTTCATTCATACAATCATTCATGCTTATCCTATCAGATCACATTCGTATTAGGCATTCAAGTCATGTCACGTTCATAATACATTTTACTTATTCATGTCATGTCACGTTCTATCCAAACCTGATTACCCTGAACATCGATCATTCTCCCACAACCAGTCGGCCGTGGCCACTCTGATCGAGAATATCAATGAACTGGATCAATCATCTCGGATAGTTAAGCAGAAAACAGAATTTATCACGAAATCAATCAGATCAGTCAAAGCAATCAAAGACTCTATGAATCTATACGAGAAAACGCTCTAGAAACATAGCCTACGGTCACGCACTCACCTTAATTTCTCGGCTGTTGCAAATTAAAAAAGATAGCCGACGGTTTCCAGAAGAACTACCCGATTCAGAACATTTCTCTCGGGCGCAGTCGAAGTCTCTCGGCGACAGTCAGAATCACCCGGCTATCTCACGATCGGATTCGGCAAACTCTCGGATATCTCTCGGTGAAATCTCAATCTCTCGGATAAAATCGCTCTCTGAACTTTCTCTCTGTTTTTCTTTCGGATACTTAGGCAGAATGATGAAGTTTCTGTGGTTTTCCCGAATTAAATGACGGTTCTCGGATGGAACTGCTCAATAACCCGATCCGCTGCGTTTCACTCGAGTAACTTAGTGCCAGTAACCGTTCCCACACTTTTTAATCGATCTAATTGACTTAGCCGGACCAGATTGATGTTTCTGTCCCTTAACCGGCGAATTTGGCTTGGTTTACTGAAATAGCCGATCTGATTTAAGTTCATCCGAGCAATTCTCTCGGTTATCGCCGATAACTGCTCCCGCCAATACTTATCCGAGTCTTTCACAAATTCTCTCGGATATAACCGCTCCCGCCAACACTTATCCGAGTATTTCACGAATTCTCTCGGATATAACCGTTCCCGCTAGGCTATTTTTATTACTTAGCAGATATTTCATAAATTCATCCGACAAATCCCAAAGTCCCTCGATCATTTCAGCTCGGCTCCGACAAAAATAACCGTCTTGTCCGAATCCCGACCAAATGTCCAAGAAATACTGTTTGTCCGATATGCCTTATATGAATCCCATTTTCACTCGGACATAATCAGCTCAGCTCAATCTCAGCTCGGACTTCAGTAACTGACCTGTCGAAAATCTGACTAACTGTCCAAATTTCACGGACTGTCGGATTTTCACTTGTCTGAACTATTTCTTCTCGGTTAAACACTCGAATCAGCTGAACTAACCCGATCCAGCTCGATTTAGCTCGGCTATCCTTAGTTTTTCATTGGCTATTCCTCTTTTCCGTCTGATAGTCCAATCTTTACATAAAAAACCTCTTGGATTTTCCTTCTCATGGTCTTAATCCGACTTATTCAGTTTTATCCGAAGATCACGGGTGTTACAAAGAACCTGTCACAAACTTGGGCCATTGTTTTTTGTTTTCTTTAAGCCGAGCTGTGAACTGAATTATATTTAGTTCCACTAAAGTCTTTCGCACATAAACTCGGCTTTATTTTGTACATAAAAATGATTTTCGAAGAATTTTCATAGTTTGAACTACAACGATTGGAAAACACATTCATTCTCCAGAGGTTTGACTTTCACATCTAGAAATAAGACTATGACTTTGATCATGAGATCTCTTTTCTATAATCCTAAAATCTCAAAAAATAATCCAAATTTAGCTGAATAGTTGGTTAATAGTCTTGTTTTGCTTCTACCATATTGTGGTTCGATTTTAATTATTTGTTTAACAAAGGAAACAGCTCTGTAAAAACCTATATATTAAAACTCTTTTTAACAAAGAAAAATTATGATGTTAAAAAAAACAAAAAAATATATATATATATTCTTACACGATTTACAAAAATCTACTACAGAGAACGAACCAGGTCCAGGGACCAAGTCACTAAAACTCAAATATGAATAGTCGAAACTCATCTTATATAAAATGAATACAGTTAGAAAATTTCAAGTACATAATTGTATCCAAATGATTTGATAACTTAAATAATTTCAGAAGGAACCTTTTATAAACTATCGCGTAGCTTCTCAGCAGAAGCATCATCACCGACACCTGTTTCAATTTTCTATAGTTACCAATTTGAGTGATGATTAATTCTAGTTAATAAAATGAACGAATAAGTTTGTTTCACTTTTTCTTCCATATTAAGCAAAATTTTACCGTATATATGCATGCAAATTTGAAGACTTTTTATTTCGTCAACTTAAACATAAAGAAATAGTTGTAAATGTTTTGTCCACAAAATAAAAATAGTATATACAATTATAAGAAGAATTATAAATGTAACAAAAAAACAAAACTAGAAAAAAAAAATTATTTAAAGAGAAATTAAAAAGAAAGAATATGAACCGCTGAATCTGCCTTCTCTTTTCTTTTTTAATCGCCGAATTTTTCTGCTGATCAGCATCGGATTGCTTTTTTAGAGCCGACACCGATCTGATTCTTTATTTTACATTTGCTTCTGTTTTCCTTTTTGAGTTTTTATTTTTAGTGGATTTTTGAATTGTGGATCCGATTTGAGTTGTTGAGTTCATGAGGATTTCAGTTCAATGTTTCTCTCTTGAGCAGATCTTATTGGTGTGAGGGAGGAGGAGCTGGATCTGCTGTTTTTTCATGTGTGAAGTGGTTGTATTTGATCCTCCTCGCTCAGATCTCGTCTTGGTTCTTTGTGTAGCTCGCCGAGTTTGTGCTTTGCCAGAGTGATTTCATTGGCCTCTGTCCAGTTAGGTTTCTCTTCTCAGATATGTCTCTGGTCAGATCAACTCTCTATGTTTCCTTCTTTTGGCTTCATTCTGAGCTTAACAGAGGTTCAGCTGGCTTTAGAGTTGGTTTTATAGAGTTATTCTTGCAGATTTTGTTCCACTTTATTGAAAGTCGGTGGTTTATTATTCTGTTATTCTGTGCTTCTTCGTTCTTATTGCCATGGTCTGGTTACTACGGAATGATTTAAGTTTCACTTTTGATTATTTGTTCTTTGCTGTTGAGCACTGGTTCTAACGAGTTTTTTGTAGGACGTTTACTGTTTTTTTGACATTGCTATTTTTGGAAGTTTTTAAAATGCAGTTCTTGTTTGTTGGATTATATAACCTTGGTTTTGTTTTTGATATAAAATGAAGTTTGATTTATTTGGTTGATCTTTGATAGCTTCGATACTATCAAAATTAGGCTTTTGAAGTATTAAAAAGCTTGCAAGTTTGAGTCCTAATTATTCTTTGGATTTTACTAGTGTTGTATCTATTTTAATTTCAGTTTTTTTGAATTATTCTTTCTTGATTTTTATTGTTGTATCCCACGAATATATTTAAATGTATTTTTTTTTGTTTTAATGAATTCTTCAGATGAAAAAAAAAAACCCCCCACGCAACGATCTCTAATGTGTAAAATAATGGCCTTGGTCAGCAGTCATCACAATATTATAAATAAAATAAAATCAGACCCACTAGGCACTTGCTCTTTAATTATCACAATAATTTTATGATTTATATCTTCTTCTGAGAAACTGACATAACGTAGCACGTCATCACATCACAGACACACCACCCACATCATATGCCGTTCGCATTTGCTTACGTTAGTTCCGTCATCACTCGTGACGATTGCTCTTTCTTCTATACTATTATTTTCTTGACTTCGGCTAATTTCTTGTGACGCCATTGAAAAGAACTTTACAACTTAAACTAATACAAATAGTATCTCATAAACGTAAAAAACAGGTTTAATCAATAAACCTACCATATCCTATGCTAAAGCTTTTCACATCACCAACATAATATATAAAGAAAGAAGGAATCGGTCTGCTCTTTAATGTTCTATATAACCGACATAAGTCTCTACCTGTTACGTCAAAAAAATTACATTGATAATATATTAAAATTTTAAAAGTTATTTAGTATAGTATGAAGATTGATTACGCTGTTGATTTCACAAATACGTCTATTTATTTCCTCCAAAACTTGTATAAAAGTTTAAAAACCCAAAACTATAGTCTATTGTTAAAATTGATACAGATTTCGAATATTTAAAAAAATAAAATGAACTGTATTAAAAAGTGAAAAGTGATCATGTTGGGTATCTGGCGTCATACACGGATTTTTCTAGTCTTTGTTTTTCTGTTTGTCAACTTTCATTTGAGTCTTTCTTTATGCATTTTTCGACCATGTTTTTAATCTTCTATGCTTTAAAGTCGTCATTATCAAATCAAATTTATTAATCTATTGTTTCCTTTCGTCTTCACATTGAAGCTGTCTCTTTCTTTCACCATCAACTTCACCTGTTGTGTCCTCTTTGTTCTCTCAAACTCATATACCCTTTAAATATCTATTCTTTCTTGACTTTTCCTCAATTCCGTCAATCTCTGTCTCTTCCTTTTCTTTTGATAGATCCCAATTTGGTTCCTTCCTCCTTCCATTTGCCTTCTCTTTGATCTTATCATCGGCTTAAATTTTACGGTTCTGCAGATCTCGAATCCGTGATTTTGATTTTCCAATCTCTTTTCCTTCGTTTTTCAGATTCTTTTACTTTCCTCCAATTTTGCTTGAATCTTTCTCCAAATTTTTCTTTTGACTTTTATTGTTTGGGTACATTGATTCGGAGGTGCAAGAGTAATGTTCTGTCGGAAAATTTGGAAACTTTTTTCGATTTTGTCTGTATAGATCATACCTCAAAATCCCAAGTTTACATTTTTCTCTGTTTTGGTTTCTGGGTTTGAATGGTTTGATTGATTTTCATGTTTGAAATGTAAATTTAGGGCTTTTGAATCTGAAATCGACTTTGAAATCTTGATCTGCATGGATCAAAAACAGAGCTTTTGAGTTATAATTTCTGCAAAAGGAAAAAAAATGGCTACTTTAACTGAGCCAACGTCATCTTTAAGTTTCACATCTTCTCATTTCTCTAATGTCTCTATTGGGTCTGATCATTTCTCACCAAGCTCAGCTTCTAATCTCGAAGTTGTTAGTCTAAGCAAGCTCAGCTCCAATCTTGAGCAGCTTCTCAGTAATCCAGATTGCGATTACACCGATGCAGAGATCATTGTTGATGGTGTTACAGTCGGTGTTCATAGATGCATTTTAGCCGCAAGAAGCAAAATTTTCCAAGAATTGTTCAAGAAAGATAAGAAAAGCTCGAAAATTGATAAGCCAAAGTACCATTTGAAAGAGATGCTGCCTTACGGAGCTGTTGGGCGTGAAGCTTTCTTGTATTTCTTGAGTTATATCTACACTGGGAGGTTAAAGCCATTTCCTTTGGAGGCTTCGACATGTGTTGACTCAGTCTGTGCTCATGATTCTTGTCGACCCGCCATTGATTTTGTCGTTGAATTGATGTATGCTTCCTCTATTTTCCAAGTGCCAGAGCTAGCTTCATCTTTTCAGGTTTGAAAACAAAAAGCAAAACCTTTTCTTGATTTCTCATAATGAGACCTTAACGGCTTGTGCTTAAAGGTTTCTGCTTTTTGTGTTGTGTGTTTGCAGCGGCGACTCTGTAACTTTGTGGAGAAGTCTATTGTTGAGAATGTTCTACCGATTCTCTTGGTTGCTTTCAACTGTAAGTTGACTCAGCTGCTTGATCAATGTATCGAGAGAGTGGCGAGGTCAGATCTCTACAGGTTCTGTATCGAAAAAGAAGTTCCTTCAGAAGTCGCAGAGAGGATCAAACAGATTCGTCTAAAGACTCCACAAGACGAAGAGAACAGCCCCAAGGTTTCGGATAAAATGCTTCAGAGAATCGGGAAAATCCTCAAGGCGTTGGATTCAGATGACATTGAGCTCGTGAAGCTTCTTTTGACTGAGTCAGATATCACTCTAGATCAAGCCAATGGCTTGCATTACTCCGTGGTGTATAGTGATCCCAAAGTTGTTGCAGAGATTCTTACTCTCGACATGGGTGATGTGAACTACAGAAACTCCAGGGGTTACACGGTTCTTCACTTTGCCGCGATGCGTAAAGAGCCTTTGATCATCATCTCGCTTCTCAGAAAAGGCGCCAAGGTGTCTGACTTCACTTGTGATGGACGCAGTGCGGTGAACATATGTAGAAGAATGACAACTCCAAAGGAGTATCATACGAAAACAGCGAAAGGGCGGGAATCTAGTAAAGCCAGGTTGTGCATTGATCTCTTGGAAAGAGAAATCAGGAGGAACCCTATGGTTGCAGATACACCAATGTGTTCCCTTTCTATGCCTGAAGATCTGCAAATGCGACTGTTATACCTAGAAAAGAGAGGTAATTGAATGATAAGTTGGCAAATTCTTCTGTATCTTTGTGACGTTTTTGGTTAAAGGTTTAAACTTTTTTGCAGTGGGGCTTGCTCAGTTGTTCTTTCCAACAGAAGCTAAAGTGGCTATGGACATTGCTAATGTAGAAGGTACAAGCGAGTTCACGGGTCTTCCTCCGCCTTCAAATGGTTTAACCGGAAACTTAAGTCAGGTTGATTTAAACGAAACTCCTCATATGCAAACCAAAAGACTTCTTACTCGTATGGAGGCTCTAATGAAAACAGGTGAAAAAAGCTTTGCTCTTTGTGAGCTTCTCTTCTTCTTATTCTCTTATTTCTCTGTTGACTGACTTCATTACACGTTTCACAATGCAGTTGAGACCGGTCGGAGGTATTTTCCATATGGCTCACAGGTTCTAGATAAGTACATGGAGGAGTACATAGACGAAGTAGACATTCTCGATGATGTACATATTGAGAAAGGATCTCCACAGGAGAGAAGGTTGAAGAGAATGAGATACAGAGAGCTTAAGGATGATGTCCAAAAGGCGTATAGCAAAGACAAAGAGTCTACGATCGCACGGTCTTGTCTCTCTGCTTCATCCTCTCCTTCTTCTTCTTCTTCTTTAAGAGATGGCCTGAAGAACTCAACATGAAACTGTAAAACGTGATTAAGATATCTTTTGTTGAAAAGGTTCTTCTTTTTGGGTGTTAATTAGATTTTATACAGATGTTTTAGGTTCAGTTTCAATAAAGAGGGATGGATAGATTAGTTATACAAAAGTGACATTAGTAATGCTTATTAACCCAAAACATTCTAACTATAACTTTTTCTTTTTGATATTTTGGTTTATATTTTTAGAATCTACAAGAGACTCAGATAACTGATACTAAAACAACCAAGAGATCCCACAAACACAAATGAGAGACATAATCTTTTCTCATAGATCTTCTTTACATAGTTGCAAGAGAGTAAAGGACAATAGCCATTTTTCCTAAATGACCTGTAATAATGCATTCTGGACAAGAACTGTCACAGGTATGTCCCAGTAAATAGATGTTAACTGACCTCTTTGGTCCTGATCAATAATACTCTCTTCCAACAAAGAAAGCACTTCAAGTTGCACGATTTGCATCATAATTTCTCTAAGTATGTCCCCTGTGCCTTTCCTCCTTTCGATATCGACAAAGGAAGGCAGATAAGTCGATAACAATTTGCTGAGCTTTCAAGTCCAGTCCAAGAACCACTTCATTGAGTTCAGTAGTGAATCAACATTAGCTATACTCAAAGGACAATCTCTGTTCTTTCCGCTTTCTTCAAGTCCTTCCTTCTTCCATTAGTGGGCATTTATATCACTATACTGATGAACAAGCGTTACAGAGCTCAAAAGGCAATCATACTTCACGATGCAACAACATATATTCTCTCCTCTCCATCGCAGTGAATCAAAACGCCATCTTGAGGTTACTAACCGGCCCTGAGCACAACAGTTGAGCTCTAAATTTGGGTGAAAAAGATACTATATCACAAAAGAAAGCTGCAACAGATTCTAAGATAGTGTTTAAAGTTGAACTGTCTGGTAAAACCTCAGGTAGATGCTTTCGTTATACTTTCCCAAGTAGCTGGACCTTCAGGGTGGGTATTAACAAAGTATGACATAAACCGGGTATTCGAAATACCGATAATAGTGCCTAGTGTCAGCTTCGCCATTACTGCATCCCTTTCCCTCAACCAAATATACATTGAGAATCTATTATGTATTCTCTCCATACTGTAACACAGATATGTTGGGGATTCAATAAGAGATTCAACTGGATAACCCAAATAGTCTGTTAGAATGTTGATCTTCTTCTCTATGATGTCTTTAGGCCTGCTGAGTATATGAGGAGCCCGCTTCACAACCTCAATAGCCACATTATAGTCCAAACCAGCTTTCACAAGGCAATCAAATCTCTCTTGTAGCTCATCTCCTCTCCCTTGGAACTTCTTCAGAGCACTCACCATCTCATCTGAATTCTCTACATACCCTAGCTTCAACAAGAACGCTGTCTTCTCTGCGTTCCTCAAATCCAGTGAATCAAGTTCAGTCCTTCTGTTTGCCGATTTAGAAGCTAAACTGAACAGCTTCAAAGGCTCTTCCTTAATGATCCGTTGCAACTCGTCTCTTTTGATTTTCAATCTAGTGGTAACAGCTTTTGGTCCTAGCAGAGACGATGAACAGATAAGCTTCATGTGATGCAGTAAAATCCTAACGATAAACTGATTCTCCATCCTGATACGTATCAAGAAATTCAGAGCCTCCAAAATTCTTTTCATAGATTTCTCTAATAACATCTCCGGGTGGTCCATCACTAATTTTTCGATCTCGTTCATCTGAAGCCCCACTTCTTGCAACTTATCAAACATAACATAAGCTTTATCCCCAGAAGTTTCACCAACCAAATCTGGATATGTTTTCAAAAGACTACTCAACTTCTCTTCTTTAAATCCCACCTTATCAAGAAGCTCCATCGTCTCGAGAATCCGGCGCCAGTTATATGCTTTTCCGTCAGACAAATACCTCCCAAGCCAATCACATCCTATGTTTAATCCCTTCAACTTATTGACCACAGAGACAAATTCACTATCAACGCCACCAAGTAGAAGCGAAGGGCAACAAATAACAAGCTTAATGACTATAGCCTTGCCAAGACCCAAGCTCTCATAAGCTTCAAGCTTTGAAGCCAAAACCCCATCCTCGTATCCGAAAACCTCTCTTGCTTCTTTATACACACGACCAATCTTGCTACGAGGGATCCCATAGTTGCAAAGAACATGGAAATTCTCAAACATGACATTGTCATCACTCAAAAGCGCCTGGTCCCGTTGAAGAAACTGTGAAATTTCTGACGGATGCAGACCCAAACTCTCGAAAAATGGTTCGAACTCGTTGATGGGATTGTACCTTAGAAACCTAGTCAAAGACTGGGATATATCCTCCTTCCGGTTATCGATCTTGGACAACAAAGACGAAATACAGCGAGGAGAGTTCTTACTTATATGCTCTGCATCAGCAAAACTAAGAGTTCTTGTTTGATGCAAGTAGTCAAAGAGAGCTTTTTGAGCTTCATTCTTCATAGCTCGCGAAACCCGATTCCCAAAAACCCTTGTGGGTGACTGAGACCAATGCCTTAGAGATGGTTTATTGTCCCCACAGACGAATCTACTACTTTGAAAACATCTCACTGTACTGTAAACATGAGACTGTTTGGACCTTGAAACTTGGGTTTGATGAGCAATGGAGGATAACGCAAAGCAAGTATTGAAATGAGCAAGCTTTCCTACTTTTTCCAGGATTCTGGAAAGCATCATTGAAACCCTAAAACTAAAGGGAAAGGGAGGTATTAAACACCAAATCTAAAACCCAGAGCAAAAGTCCAGAGCTACGGAAGATTTCATCATCAAGATAGTTCCTTTTCTTAACAACCCATCGAAAGAATTGAAATTTACCAGACTATTACGAGATTGAATCCTCCTTCTTCACCAAATTCTTAAGGTTTTGTCGCTCAAAATCTCTCACTTTGCTTAAACCTCCTTGTTAGGGCTTTTGCTTCTCCGCCTGTGTAATTTTCAATCAAGCGACCCCGGGATATAAAATTACAAAGAGGTCCTTGAAATTTTATTTTTCTTACATTATATGACCATGTGTTTTTCTGTTCCCCAAGTTTAAAATGGTATAATTGATCAACAGGACCTAAACGTTTCTGCATTTTCTAAAAGAGCCTTTCAAATATCTTTCGGATCATCTGGGTGCCCCTTTTAGGGGATGATCTTCTTTACCCAAACCGAACCGAATTTTGACACTATTGAATCGCATCGAATTTTATATTTCGCTGTCCAAATCTGTGAGGTTTCATCAAAACTTAACAAACCGAATTAGGACGTTTTAAACCGAACTTTATCAATGCCCAAACCTATAAGACTTCAATAGTAGCCAATATAATAAATTGCATATATAATTCTATTCCGTTAATGTTTTTAGCTAAGTTACATGGAATCATTTAACTTTAGTAACTTAAAAATTATTATCCGTTCCATATCCTTGAAGTATTTGATCAATTTTAAGAAGTTCAAAAAAAGAAAAGTATTTGATCAATTGCATCAGAAATATTCAACCGACAGAAGAAAATCCCTGAATTGATGTAGAGTACGTAGTATATATAGACGTCAATATAGAATCCATATACCACGTAATAGTTTTTTTTTTGAAAAATACCACGTAATAGTTGTTAAGACAATTAACCAAAAAGACAACGAAAAGTACGAATATAATGTAAATGTGTGTATGTTTATGTACTTTTAGTTTGGCAAAGAAGACAACATATGGTGGGGTTTACGTGTGAAGCTCCATAAAACTAGATTTTAATTGGACGACATGCAAAATAATATACAACTAAGTACACATTTTATGGTGCACGGGTACGTAAAATATATTATCCGTAATTTATTTAATTTTGTTTTAATTCCTATGGAGAAAAAATAAAGCTTGATGCATCATTTGTACAAGTATTTAATTTTAAAATGTAATTAGATAGATATAAAACAAAGTTAGCGGGAGACTAACGGTGTACTCATTTCGTCTCTTCCTTAATTTCTGGCCAGAATTATATATAACTATAATTATCTCTTTGTCAAAAGTTTAGATATATATATATATACCAAGACATTTTTGTTCGTTCTTACTTCTAATTAGTTCTTACAGCTTACAACTGAGTTTGTTATAAGATAAAATAAAATTCATTTTAAATCTAACAACACACATATATATAGTATATTTTTCTATTCCAAAAGTAATCAGATCAACGTAACTGGCTAGAAATATATTTCGTTAATTGTAAATTTGAGTTTATTAATGTATGTTTTTAACAAAGTCTCCTTGTTTGTGTAATTGGTGAATTCCATACCAAAACCCAAACTATTTTTCAAAAGCTATAAAGAGTCATTTTGTTTTGCCATTAAAAACGTTTACAATAGCGAAAAAAGAAAGAGAAGAAGGTAAGAGTAAAATTCAATAAATCGAACAATCTCTTTCATAAAAACCGTTGAAAACAAATATTTATCTCTTGAATCCGCTACTACTTTACTAATGATTTGTTTATAAATTTTCTTCTTGAATTTTATATATCACTTTCAGAGCCGCATCTCATATACTAATTTATAAGGCCAGCCACATTTATTTCAAAATTAGGTTTCTATACAACTTAATATATATATATATATATGTAGACTGTACAGTTGTTGTTTGAGAAATCCATGGTGTTAAACATTTTATTGCTTTAAAGAGAAGTTAAATGATTTTACTATCATATTCATAAATATAAGATTGGTTAGAAAGAAAAATCAAAAATGTGAAATTAATGAACGATTCTGTAGGAAAAGTGTAAAAATAATTATGTTTCAGAACTTTTATAGTATCAGTTTCATTTTTAGTATCACTATTTATGCGTTTCAAACCAAATGTATACGAAAAAAACCACACTTTAGATTCGAAAAAAATAAAAAATTATTTATACGAAAAAACCACACTTTTTAGATTCGCGTAAGCACGACACTAATCAATTTATCGATTATCAACAGTTAGCTTTCTATTTTGCAATCTAAATACTTGTAAGTTACAAATTCCAATATATCTCACCATCATGTGATGAATCGGCCTCAACACAGATCACAAATGTATCAAAAGTAGATAGTTCGATTGGTTTCCTCGAAGATAACTCTTAAAACACTTTTACACAAATATATATAAAAATCACTTTCTTGTAATATATTAACATATTTTTCTTGTGTATTAAATATTAAATTATTAATGAAGGACATTTTACACAAATACATTAATGAGCTATCATGTTTAAGGATCATTAACAATACTATTCCACGTGACACGAAGTGCGGTGCATTAGAAAGCTTATGATATCTAATTTAAAATGACGTAATCTAAACTATCACATGGAAGTGTACATATAAAGCTTGGTTTATCAAATACATTATTTGTATACTAATTTTCTTGCATATAAAGTACAAAACTATGTAACTAAGGCTTTTGAAACCTAATTCGTCTCTATAAATACCAAAACGAACTTCACACCAAACACATACAAAATCAAACCTTCATTTTACATTTCTTTCTTCTTCACCAACAGCTGGTAATTAGCTAGCTAAGTTATGGCAACCAAAATCAGTGTCTTGTTTGTCTTCCTGCTCATTACATTTTTTTTCAATACTAACAACAAAACCCAAGCAAGACAGAATAAGAACCCTAGTTCCTCCTCATCATCTTCCTTTCTTGTTCTTGCCTTGACCAAATCAAGTGTTTCTCTTCCGACACCAAAGTCTCAAACCCAAGAAAGGATCAAGAAGCCGTTAGAGTCATCAGTAGATGTTGTACTGGAGCCGTTGAGAGAAGTGAGAGATGGTTATTTGATAACCTTAAACATTGGAACACCTCCTCAAACAGTCCAAGTCTATATGGACACAGGAAGTGATCTCACTTGGGTCCCATGTGGGAATCTAAGTTTTGATTGCATAGATTGTTATGATTTCAAGAACAACAATCTAAAATCATCCTCATTCTTCTCTCCTGTTCACTCATCTTCATCTTTTAGAGCTTCTTGTGCAAGTTCCTTTTGCATCGATATTCATAGTTCAGACAATCCGTTTGATACTTGTGCAATCGCTGGCTGTTCTGTCGGTATGCTTCTCAAGTCCACTTGTTTAAGGCCGTGTCCCTCTTTTGCTTATACTTATGGTGAAGGTGGTCTTGTGTCTGGGATACTAACCAGAGATATACTGAAGGCTCGAACCAGGGATGTCCCGAGATTCTCTTTTGGGTGCGTTACATCCACTTACCAAGAATCTATTGGCATTGCCGGGTTTGGAAGAGGTTTACTTTCTCTCCCATCGCAGTTAGGGTTTGTTCAAAAGGGGTTTTCTCATTGTTTCTTGCCTTTCAAGTTTGCCAACAACCCTAACATCTCAAGCCCTTTGATCCTGGGAGAATCTCCTTTATCCATCAATCTCACAAACTCTTTGCAGTTTACTCCCATGTTGAATACTCCAATGTACCCTAATAGCTACTACATCGGCTTAGAATCCATTACGATAGGTACAAATGTCACTGCCACACAAGTTCCCTTGACGTTAAGACAGTTTGATTCACAAGGAAATGGAGGAATGTTGATCGATTCGGGTACGACTTACACACATTTACCCGATCCCTTCTACTCACAAATCCTCACAACTCTCAAATCAACCATCACATATCCTAGAGCCACGGAAACAGAATCAAGAACAGGCTTTGATCTATGCTACAAAGTCCCATGTCCTGATAACAATCTCACTAGTCTCGAAAACGAGGTAATGATGATCTTTCCTTCAATCACATTCCATTTCTTGAACAATGCTACCTTAATTCTTCCGCAAGGCAACTCTTTTTACGCAATGAGCGCACCTAGCGATGGCTCGGTGGTGAAATGCTTGTTGTTTCGGAACATGGAAGATGGAGACTACGGTCCGGCCGGGGTTTTTGGGAGCTTTCAGCAACAGAATGTGAAAGTTGTGTATGATTTGGAGAAAGAGAGAATAGGGTTTCAAGCTATGGATTGTGTCTTAGAAGCTACTTCACATGGACTTTACCAAGGCTCGTGAAAATACAAAAAAAGAAAATCAATCTTTTAAGTTGATTTTTGAGTTTGTTTTTTTCGTTTTTTTTTTAATGTTCTTGTTTAAAGCTGTTTCGACGTTGGTTTGCATCTGTTGGGAACTTTCTTTTGATTAAATAATGCTTGTGAGTTTAATAACTTCTTTTTTTTAAGGATTAATGATTAGGGTTCTTGAGCTGGAGTTTGGAGTACTTTAGCTAAATATAGAGAATGCGCTGGAACTTTTCTTTTTGTGGTAATTAGATGAGTTGGAACCTATAAGGAACATGTCGTCATGGAATACGAGGTGTATTATACATTATTAAATTGTATAAGAGGACAAATCTACGTGATCTGTTGTTTAAATATTGTCTAATGTCTATAGTCTATACGCATTACACAAAGTGGAAATGTGCATATACATACACATAATAAGTGTCAAACTTAATGAGAAGTGATATTCTTGAAAACATTCATTTTGTTTTAACATTTCAATTTTTTATATACTTATACCAATTTTTAATAATCTACTTATGTCAAAATTAGTTATAACTTTTGGGGCGAATGATGAGTAAAGGTGGTTTTTATTCCAACTTTTGGCTTTGACGAACTGGAAAAAAGACAATTTTTCTGAAAATACATATATGTAACTCCATTTTTAATCTTTGTCAAAATAAACAAAACAAACTAATTATTAAAAAAAAACCTTGCCTGCTATAATATCAAGATCCACTGCTACAATATCAAGATCCACTGATGAAAGTCCCACACCCAAAGTTTGAAAAAATTGCGTTCTACAGAAAACGATATTTTTTTCGGACTACAAAAATGTCTTATTCCAATTAGGTGACTCAGCTTTCTCTAAATTTATGGGGCATTTTAATATTTTAGATAAATACACGGGGGTTTTCGTAATTTCAATATTTGTATGGGTTTTTTTTTTCATAAGTATCG